AGGATTCGTTCATACTGATTCGTTCGAATCCACTGAGGATTTCAAATGTAGGCTGCATTTAGGGAAAACCAAGAATGTCTACAGGGATGTCCGCAAGATGCGCATTATTTTTGAACGAGAAGGTTTTCGACAACATCCACCGGATATAAGGCGCACGTGTACTCACGATTATACGCACTGTGATGCTGAGTTCAACCTAAAGAGGATCGTTAGCTGCCTTGTATCGAGTAGCTCACATGATGCCGTCAAAAATACGAACTAATGCTACAGCTGGACGAGTTTTTTGGATGTCGCCGCCGAGCTTGTAAATGTTTCTTCCTCTGTCGTGTACAACGCAGAATGACGATATCTCCTCGGCTCGAGACGAAACGGTGGCAAGCTACTTGTCAAGCTCTGCAAGCAGATCAACCACAAGGAGACAGGTTTCATCTGATTATTCCGCACCACCTTGATCCTTTTCATTGCATGCTTGGAAAAAATTCTAACTGGTGTTGCAGAGAAGGGCACTATTCAGATTTAAGTTTCTATATGGCCTTCCGGTGTGAAGATCAACCGAACGGAATGAACCGTCTACGAAGCTCCGTTGCACTTTCAACAGAACTAGCTCGTTTCTTTTGTTGTTAACAGCAGGTGCGGGAAAACGGTACTGTTGATTTCGTGGCGTGATTATTTGTTTTCCGTATTCCTCAGAATAATCCATTGCTCTTCTGGTGACTTCTCAAGTTTCAATACTGAACTATTCCATTTTATACAAAGTCGATTCTATATTAACTGTTTTCATGACTCGATTTATTCACATTCATTTCTGGATTTGTTGTTGAACATTTTGTTCCGCTGCACAACGTTTTCCCCCTTTAATTTGTCCGATAGCACACTGCCGTTGTGTGTTGCTAACTACCCAAGGGTGCAATCTACCCATAAGCCTTCCTTTAATTCTGCTCATTATTTACTGTTAATTTATAATAGAAACACGGTCTACCAACAATCGGTAGTTTTTATTTGGTCAACGTTTCGCTTTTGACACTTGACCTCAACCCCCCTCAAACTAAATTGTCGGAACACTCACAACCCCACAAAGACTAAGGAAAATCTAACAGCGGCACCCGAGGCGAATCATCAAGTGAAGCTGTGTGAATTGGAACATTAAGGAACGAAAAGCGATCGGAACTAAGTTGGAACCCTTCAACACATCGATTCAAGATTTTGGCACCCACACCAGCCGACAAGAGCCGTTAATTGACACTCAACACCGATTTAGTCTAAACAGAACTTACTGATTGGTTCCCCGTCTGTCTTATAACCTGGCCAATTTTGTGACCTGTTCACTTGGCCTGATGAAGCTTTCGTAGAATTCGGTTTCGCCGTAATTATTATTGACCATCCGTCGTTGAATTAGATCACACGTTACCTGTCAGATAGGACACCCAGATCGTGCGTTTAGGCTAAGTAACCTATTCCTTGCTTTGATATCACGGCCTTGGCACAGGATCCTACGTGTACGGAGCCTCACAATCAACAGTGAGGTCCTATTTGGTCGCGAACCCAAAAAAAGCTCGTCAAGGTGCGGAAAACAGCTGCAACACACTTCAATATTGAGAACTCGACTAAAGTGCTGATGGTCTCCTCATCAGAATAGGGCTGTTCAAGCATCCCGCAAGTGATTAGATTCTACTGTCAACTAAATGAGATAAAATAGCGCACGAGCTTCGCGGAACTGTGTCTACACCACTGAATCAAACCAAAAACGAATACAGGAACTGTATCATGGCAAAGTGTTGAGGGGACTAGTACCATCCTCAGTTCGGTTACGAAAGGACTAGTTCAGGAGTCATTCACGTCGAACTGAGTTCCGGCACCCAAGACTGGAATCGCCATTTTCCGGCGGGAGTCCTAGTTAAACTTGATAATTTCGAAAGTTTGCCACACCCCCAGAGAAGCTGTCTCAAAAAGTGCACAGAGAAGGGCAACATACTGTTGTAAGTATTATAGACAGTCAACATCACAGAGCTTTTCCGAAAAAAACATGATGGAGGAAACTGTAAAAAAAGGCTCGCACACTAAGAAACACCCGGCAAGGTCAGTAGTGTAAGATTCCACAAAATAAACGAACATGAAATGACACGGTCGGGTGTTGAAGAAAAACAGAGTAAAACTGGGGTGGGAGAGCTAGAAAAAATCTCTAAAAACATCTGGTATACCTACAGATGAAAAATGAAGCCACACACACAGTCAGATGGCGCCCCTAGGAAAATAACGAAATGACGCAGGTTCTCTCCCGAATAAAACGAAGCGATTCTCTACCTGGAAGCGCGGATATGACGAAAGGACGAAAAGAAAATTGAGAAAGGATAGAAAACGCAGGTCGGGAATGAAAGACAAGCAGCGTGTGTTGGTGTCTCTCAGGATACCCCCTACGTCGCGGGCTCCTGAGTACTCACTGCCGGATTCGTGGTAGTTGCTGATGTATCAGATGTCACGTCTTGGTTGGGCGGGCATCCTGACTCTTCCATGATCCCGCTCAAACTAGGGTTGTGAAATGTACGTGTGTGCACCGGCCTGGTAAACGCGTGTCCGGGCACTGGTGGAGGTTGGGAAGAAGGCAACGCAATGGGGGACAGGGAACCAGTACCAGCGGTGGCAGCGCGTTGTAATGTTGGTGGATCGGACCCGGCTCCCGTGACGTCCAAGAGACCTCGATGCCCCGGCGGAGAACGAGGGCGAAGACGAATCGGTTCCGGGGTGACTTCTTTGCCAACGGGAGGTTCACCTTCACCCGGTTGTGTGCCAATCGACGCAAGAGAGAAGGGCAACAGGGATGAAACTAACGAGCTCAGGGAAAATTGTCCTGTTACACAAGGTTCGGGCGGGGCCAGTGGTGGTGGGGAATGTCGAGGCTTGAGTTGAGTGGGACCGACGTCAAATCGGTTGGTTTGACGGACGAAATGTTGTATGTGTTCGACAGACCGGGAACGAAGACTGCTGCCCAACAGTTGTGAGGGTGAATTCAGTCCGAATCGACTGGAATGGAAGGAGACAGAACAACATCACGAGCTTCTTTCTATAGCGATTGTAATGAATGAATGAAGGAAGCGCGGGGGGAACTGCTCGGTTTACTCAAATCGGTTGGTTTGACGGACGAAATGTTGTATGTGTTCGACAGACCGGGAACGAAGACTGCTGCCCAACAGTTGTGAGGGTGAATTCAGTCCGAATCGACTGGAATGGAAGGAGACAGAACAACATCACGAGCTTCTTTCTATAGCGATTGTAATGAATGAATGAAGGAAGCGCGGGGGGAACTGCGCCTATCGGTTTACTTGCTTGCACGCGAGATATTTCCATCCATCCTGCAGAACGAATGACTGTTACCGCGGGGTGAGTAGGAAAAGTTCGTTTGCTGTATCATGATTTATTTCAAAGTCCGTGGACTTTGTTTAGATAAACTGATGGTGCACAGAAGGTCTAGGCATAAAAATCAGCAGGCGCACGCAACCTGTACAAAGTTAGATGAGATATTCTACGTAAATGCTGTGGATTGTTTCCAAAGGGGCGACAAAGGCCCTAACTGAGGAGGGGCACCACCGGAGAAAAAGCAGGGGATTTAGTCGGACAGAGTTAGCATGGGCATCAGTTGGAAAACGCGACAAACCACGGATTGTCCGTCGTCATCATCATCATCGACAGCACGATATCAGTGTTCAACACCGATGCTTCACTGCCGTACAACCATGATTTATTTGAAAGCCTTATTGTAAAGAAAAGAATAAAGGTGGATGGGGG